TATCTTTGAGAAAGGTCACTTGAACATTAAATGCTCACTGGCCGAAGGCAGGGAGGAAGATCTTGGGAGAGATGAGACCAGTTTTAGTAATGCATCAAGACTCAGCACTGCTCTGGTGTGGAACATTGGGAGTAAATACTACAAAGTATTAAGTTGGAGACTGAGGACCTCCAGCCCCCACCCCCACCCCCAGAACTCCTTGAAGGCACCATGAATGAGAACTAAGAAAGCCCCAAACTGAGAGCCGCTTGCCCTGATTTTGCCTCATAAAAATGTGTGCTCGCTCTCTCGGACACTGTCAGAGCTCGACTCTGAAATGTCCCTGTTGGCTCACATGTCAAACCTTGTTCCCCAAATGATGGTGCTGTCTGGCAGCTGTAGGACTTTCAGGAGGTGGGGGCCTGGCTGGAGGAAGCAGGTCACAGGAAGTGGATCATTTGGGATGTCTTGTCTTTGTCCCCTTCCCTATCCTGCACTCTGCTTCCTGTTGGCCATGCATCAGTGACTCTTCTGTCGCCATGATAAAACACCATGACCAAGGCAACTTACAGAAGGAGGTGTTTATTTGGATTGATGCTTCAGAGGGATAAGAACCCATCCTAGAAGGGAGGCATGGCAGCAGGCAGGCATGGTTTCCAGGGCAGGAAGCTGAGTGCTCACATCTTCAAGGGCAAGTGCTGAGCAGACAGTGAACTAGTAGTGGGGTGAGGCTGTGAGGTCTCACCGTTTGCTCCCAGTGACAGACTTCCTCTTAGTAAGGCTGAACTTCCTAAAATCCCTTCAACAGCTCCACCAACTTGGAACCCAGTGTTCAAAGCATGAGCCCATGGAGGACCTTTCTCATGTAAGTCACCACAGCGGTCATGTGGCCAGTTGCCTCATGCGCCGGCCAACAATAATGGAGCTTCCTCCCACTGTCATGCTTTCCCTGTCTCGATGCCATGAGCCACCCTGAGGCCACGAGACAAACCAGTCTTCCCTTCCGAATTCTCTGCGGCCAGGTGTTCTGTCACAAGGACAAGTTAAGTAGTGACAACACAGCCTCCCCTTGAGTGTTTGCTTGTGCGTCTTCCCCGAGCAAGAGTGTGATAGCTTTTAAGTACAAGCAGGATGTAGCCTTTTAGACCATCGGGAAATGCCTGTGAGTCAAAGATCACATGCTTATCGAATAGTAGTAGCCTTTAGATCACTGAGTCCCATTGGAATATTCCCCCGACTGCATTGAAGGTCTCTAATGAGCCCAGTGGAATTTAGAAACAGGTTCCATGTATATAAAACACTCTGTTAGGATTGGGACTTATTTTGACAACCAGTTGTCACAAAGTCCCAAGTTGCTGAGATCCAGTTGAACAGAGCTTTCTCTCAAGAGGAAATGGATTTGATCTCTCCATTGGATTTTAACTATGGTGCACTTTAGAGCGAACCATTTGTGATGAATAAATGAATGACTGGAGGGATAAATAATTCAGATCAGTTTTCCTTTTAAGGACTTGAAGTGTTTGCTCAATGCTCGAGGTTAGTAATTATAGCTCCAAGGGATGGAGATCTCATTTTAAAAATCCTTTATTTCTATTAGTAAAGGGGACCTCCTCTCTGCTAATAGAACTGCCTACAGTGTTTGCCATGTGAGATTTCATGTGGCCTGGTGCACAAGTGCTTCGTATTTTGGAACCAGACAGACCGGGTTCCAGCTCTGGTTATCCCATTTAATTAGTTAGGAGTTTGGGGGTAATTATTTTATTTCTCTAGGACTCAATTTTCTGGTCTGCAAAATCCAGGAGAGCAATCATAGTTATCTTAGAGGTACAGGAAACCTGGGGCGAAGCGTGCTTAGAGAACTTGAATTTTCAGCAAGTGTCTGTTGTTAGAACTTTTCTCAGAAAACAGTGCTACCCTTCCTAGAGTTGGTCGGCACCAAATGGATTGGGAAGGATGAACGGTCATCCTTAAATAAACAGTCATTTAGTGTCTTCTGCACCAGTATAGGGGTGCAACAGTAAGAGTTTACCCCAGCTTGTTTATGAAGGATCCAGTTTTGCCCCCTCGGCTCTACCCTGGAGTATATGCTCCTTCCAGATCCTCAGGTCTGCTCTCCCTGAACCAGAGTCATGTGTACAGGGCCCTATAGTGAAATTCCTCCTCCGGGCTCACCAAGCACACAGCATGGCACACAGCATGGCACACTGGTAAACATGAGTGTTATGGGGTCATGGAAGGCGTTATAAATCCATCCTACAGAAGGGCGGGTGAACGTGGAGGCTACCTATGCGTCTAACCTTTTCCCATTGCAAATTAAACATCTTTCCTTTGATCCCATATTATGGCAAGAAACTAGCATGGATCTTTGATCCCGCGCCAGTATCTAGAGAAATTACGAGGTCTCTAGGATGGGATAATAGAGTGTCATCAAGGCTTCTAGCTTTAGGAAATTACTTAATCTCCATTCTCAGTGGCTGCTGCTCTGAGACAGCTGTGACAGAAAGGTCCCAAGTGCTATTGAAGACAGCTCATCAGTTCCGAACAAAGCTGATTATGTAAATTGTACATTAAGATGCAGCTCCAATTTAATTTTACTCTGTAAATAAATATCCCATTAGCATCCATCTGTTGCCAGTCAGGTAAGGCCTTCTCTAAACGGATATGACTAAGCCCCCAGTGGCTTCTCTTGGGATGCTGATGGGGTGTGGGAGGGTGAGGGTTACGACACCCAAATTCTCAGTGTAGAACTTAATTTTGTTCTTTAAATGGCAAGTCAGCTATAAAATCAATTGAGGGCCAGAAGAAGCTGGGATTGGCCCCAAACAACAGGACACCTCATCTATTTCTGGGCCTGCTCATCAGGGACACATGAAAGCTTTCTCTGATTGTTGTCATGGAGATCAATAATAATTATAGCTAGCCGATTCCCTCCAAAAATAAAAACATTTCAGCTGATGAGAAGCGAGCACTAAATTAGCACCCGGTCTTTCGGCTGCAGGGCAATTTATCAGGCCGAGCGGCACGTGAGTGTGGTCTTAGCTGAACCTGAGGATACAGCTCTCCCCTCAGAACGGAGAGTGTTGGACAATGTCACTGGCTGACTGCCAGAACCAGAAGGAGGGTGGCAGGGAGAGAGCGTGTTTTCTCCAGGGCTGTGCTCTCTAGGTTTCAGGAGGCTGAGTTCTAGAAGCTTCTGGTATTTCCTTAGTAGTCTATCAGCAGGAGAAGCAGAAGCTTGGCCATTATCTGCCCAGTGGAGAATTAAAACCTGTGGTTTGGATGCGGCTGCTGCTGGTGGTGATGGACGAGGTGGGAGGAGGAGGAGAGGGCTCAGCAAGGGTCTGGGCACAGACCCAGGAGACCCACTGTGGCCCGCACACTCTAACACTTAAGGCATTGTCGCCCACACTGCCGATAACTGCTGAAGCTGGCCAAGGACATCCCGGGAGGAATCTGAAGCAGAGGCTCTTCATCCAAGGCTGTTAGACACAGTGCCACTGGCATAAACAAAGATGTCTGAGCATATTTTTTTTTAATTTTATTTTTAGATTTAATTTTTTTTAGGTATTAGGCCTTGTGCACCATGTGCATGCCTGGTACACACATTAATTCAAAAATGGATGCCAGATGCACTGGAATGGGAGTTACAAATAGTTGTGAGGGGCCATGTGGGTGCTGGGAATTGAACCTGGGTCTTCTGCAAGAGCAACAAATGCTTTTAACTCTTGAGCCATTTCTTCAGCCCCTCCATCATTTTTTTTTAAAAGCCCAAAGCCCGTTAATGAAAGAAGGAAGAAGGCCTGAAAAAAAGCCTAAAACAAAAAGGGAAAAACCCAAAAGGCAAAAAGTGCCCAACCAAGGTTTAAAAACCTGCAACCAAACCGGTAAAGCCCAATAAGCAAGAAAAAAAAAAAAAGAAACTCCCCTAAACAATCCAGAACCGGAAAACCAGGAAGGAAATAACAAAAGGAAGAAAACAAAGGCAAAGGCAACAAACAAAGCAAAAAGTAACCAAAAACGGGGCCAGGGCCCTACAGGTCCCCCTTAGTGAAATAAATGAGCTTCTGACTTAGGTTGCATGGGACATCAGCAGGTCACCTTACTGGTCATGGAGACGCCTGCCCAGGCCACACAGGTGTTCTGCCTTAGGTTGGTGAGTGACCCCCAGGCATTACCCGTCTCTGAATATTCATTATCATACAGGCTCAATCCTGTGTGAGCTGCAGAGTTAACTGCTGCCAAAGATCTCAAAGTGGCACTGGGCTTGCAATCTGTGTGTTCGTCACAGAAAAAAACCAATAGAAGTCCTAACCCACCCATAGCCAGTAGGCTAAAGGCAACTGAGCCATTCCCTTCCTTAACAAGCCTTACTGCAAATTGGAGTCCTTGTAAGATGGTATCCCAAAGGCAAATGGAACTTGAGTTTATAAATTTATAATTTTCAAAGCCAATCGAAATGTATATAACTATTGAATTAAATTTATCATGCCCAATAGAAGATTTCTGAGCATATTAAAAGGAGGAAAAAGCAAGTCCTTCCTCTAAGCTAATGACGCCTGAACCAACCATCCTTCCCTCATATTCTTTTCTCCATCATAAGACAAGTTTGAGGCCACAGCATCTGTCCCAGTATTTCTAACACAGGGCAGGGCCTAAGTTAGCTCCTTCCCCTTAGATTGACTATGACACCTGGGTCATATAATCAGTATCTTAAGAGCACGAAGCAACACCTCAGCATGCTGTGAAGATCAGAAGGAAGAGGCCGGCCCCTGATAACAATGGTGGATCCTGTCAGAGCCCTAAACTGCCTCCCTCTGAACTGTTGGGTGAGAGAGAGATTCCAAGGTTAAACTACTGTCAAGGGTTCTGTTACTTTGAACCACAATAGCCCCAGTCAAAACAGGCAATGAGTGTGATAGCACAGCCATGCTAGTGGCAGGTAGAGGAGAGGCAGAGCTCACTCCTCTCCTCCTGCTTTGCTCAGCACTCACTGGGCAGGCACCCTGTCCTTTCAGAGAGTTCCCCTCAGCCGTCCGTTCAAGGATGGTTTCTTCGGTACTCTTATCCTGAGTCCTGAGTGAATCAAAGACGTCTACAGATTGAATGAATCATCATGGGGACTGTCAGCGCTAAAGCAAAGTATCAGACATGGTTCCGTGTGCTGAAATGAGGTAAGCATGTCCTGCGTGGGAGATACACAGCCTTCCCCAAGCCTGCTGGCTCCACGTGCCAGACACGTACTCACGTGACATAGGTGGTCTGGGGGGAAAACAGCATTTCATGTTTGAGTCTCCCTCGATATAAAAATTGAAGTAAGTGTGTGTGGGGGGGATACGGAGAGGGGGGTACACATGCGCTGTGTCCTGGAATGATCATAAGAAAAATCATGATATAGTTGGTATCTATTTCTCTGAGTCCCGTCCCCCCCTTTTTTTGGCTAAGCATCTCGATCTGCTTCTGTTTAGACTGGCTCCTGGTGTTTGACTTGGGCCAGCTAAAAGAGACTGAGTAGTGAGCAAACTCGGAGATTTAGATGAGTGAAATTTACCTCTCCCTTGTGCTGTGTGTCCTGTGGAGGTGGCTGGGGGCAGGGCGGGGTGATGTGTGTGGTTATTATCTCTATCCAGCTCTCGCCTCTGACACATTTCTTCAGCATTGTAGCAGAGGAGACGAACCTTCTGGGGCAGTTGTGTGCAACAGAAATACAGTGTGAGCCACAAGCTCAAATCACAGACATGAGTGAACATTTTCTAGTCACCTTAGAAAGGCAAAATGAGCTGGGCCGTGGTGGCACACACCCTTAATCCCAGCGCTCAGGAGGCAGAGGCAGGAGGATCTCTGTGAGTTTGAGGCCAGCCTGGTCTACAGAGAACCCCTGTCTTTAAAACAAAACAAAACAAGAAACAAACAAAAATCAAAAAAAGAAAGAAAAAGAAAAAACAAATTAAAATTAAAATGATGAGACCAAGTTTAATAGTGTATTTTACTTTACCTATATGATTTCAACATACTGTTAATTTTTAAAGCATTAATGAGTTACAGTTGCATTTTTCAGTACCAAATCTCCATAATTCAGTGTATTTTTTACACTTAAAAGACTCTCAGTTTGGACTATCCACATATCAAGCTCTCCCAGTCACATGTGGCTAGTGGGTATCACATTTGATTCTGCAGCTCTGTAGCACTCCACCCAAATTCATGCTCAGCCTGCAAGTGGCACAACCTTACCTCTCCTTCTGTGACCTACTGAATAGAACATTTTTTGGAGGGTTCATCCAACTACAAAGATCTACGAGGCATACTTCTCCTTTCTGTTTTTAACACAAGTTGGGAAGAGCTAGGGAAAACCAGGCATGACCAGCAGGCTTTCCTTGCTCATCTCTCCTCTACTGGAACATCCTGCTAGGCAATCCCTCCTCCGCCATGAAAGACTTCCAGCCCAGTAACCTATTTTACTTAATTCCATCTTTGCTGGGTCAGGAACATTCTGTATCTTATGACCCAGAAGGGACCAGTGCCTGGTCTCAAAAAGAAAAAAAAAATCTGGGTGTATAAGGTAAATGCTAATAAATGGAGGTGACTGAGTAAGTGAAGGAAGCAAAAGGCAAGAGGAGAAGTTCGTGGAGAGGAAGAATTTCATCCATCCTTTACATTTGCTAATGTGGTAGATTGAATATAATTGACCCCCATAATTTCACAAGAAGTGGCACTATTAGGAGGTGTGGTTTGTTGGAGTGTGTATAACTATGGTGGAGGAAGTGTGTCACTGTGGGGGCGAGCTTTGAGGTTTCCTTTGCTCAGTATACCACCCACTGTCTCAGTCAACTTCCTGTTGTCTGCAAGATGTAGGACTCTCAGCTATTACTCCTGTACCACATCTGCCTGCATGCTACCATGCTCCCCACCATTATTATGATAATGGACTGAACCTCTGAAACTGTAAGCAAGCCACCCCAATGAAATCTTTTCCTCATAAGAGTTGCCATGGTCACAGTGTCTCTTCACAGCCATAGTAACACTAAGACAACTAACGTCATTTGCTTTCTTTCTGGCTGTGCATTGTTAGAGTCCTCTGAGCTCCCCTCCCCACCACTCATGGCCCCATAACCACTCAATGACTACTGTTTCACTTCAGGAACCACTGTTTCTTGGTACTGGAAGCTCTTGGTGGTCTCAGCTATGATTCAGCGCCCATTAACCACGAACCTGGTCCATACCAGATACACAGTAAAGATCTGCAAGAACACATTTATATTAACTTTCACAAAATGATTTCTAAGCTGTTAATATTGTCAGTGATGCCACGATGAAGGGGCAGAATTGGCCCATCTGCTAGCTGCATGGCTATTACCAAAGACAGTCCATAAAGCTCCCCAAGAAGTTGTTTGGACTTGTGCTTTATACAATGCTCACAACATGTACATGTCCACTGTTGGAAAATTCGGGTATGGCAAAGCCAACAGGTAGAAGAAGATGGCTCTGACTGAAGAAGTAGTTGCCCATAGATCCCAAGAGGAGGGACAGTGCCATGCACAGCCTCCTGGGGAAGATCAGGGTCAGTCAAGAGGTAGAGAGAGAGGAGAGCATGGGCCTGGGTCTTGAGTGTGTTTGCCACAAAATAGGCAAGGCAAGGCATGGTAAGTGAGCTTCCAACAGGCTAACTTCACTGATTTCAGAGGCTCTCTCTTGTCATCTGATACCTGGTCTGTGGTATTGGGGGTTGTCAGATGGTGTCTCATACTGTGGATCTCTGCTGGGACCCAGTCTCCAGACACTGCAAGAATCAGCAAATCTCCAGATATCCCAGTGCCAGAACTACAGGAAAAAAAAGGAGGGGCAGGGCTAATCTGTGCATAGCGACCCTGCTGAAGTGAAAAGGGGCGTCTTGGTCTCTTGGGACTTATGGAAAACTGAGGCTTACATGGCCTTTGTTTATAAGCGTCGAAGTGGCTTTATCACATGTCTGGGGGGTGGAAGTTGAGAACACAACCCGAGCTGTATTTGGAACCCTAAGCAGTTTCCATGACATCTCCTTGAAGACCCCACAAGGACTTTTTGTATCATTAGACGCAAACAACACAGCCTTGGTGGCACAAAACTATGTACTCTGCCAAAAGATGAGAGAGCTATATGTCTACCAAGGATAAGTGTCATCATATGTACATTTGACTGCAAAAAAATAGATTTTATAAAATAAGTAACACAGATCTGTCAGAAGGGATGAAAGGGGGACAATTTTCTTCCGCTTTCACTGTCAGCTATAAAGTAGCTCACATTGCAGGGAGAGAGCAGATTGTGGGTGAGATAAGGATGTGCGATGATCAGCTGCCGCATGTCCCTGTGCAGATCCGACTCGGGGGCTCTCATGCTAAGTGCCGTGAAATGGTCCCTAGCACGTTGTGGGGAGCTGGTGGATCAGCAGGGGAAGCTTGGTGCTCTTGAAGCCTGTGGTGAGCACACCGAGCCTTGTCATAATAGATGCATTGGTGACACATTCACTAAAAGTCAAGTTCAGAGGGACCTAGTGCTCCCTGAGAAATGTGGGGGCATCAGCTGCTTGTCCTCTGGATTTTTCTATAATTCTTCAGCCTGTGGATCACTTAAAGAAAATTGAGTACTCAGGCAAAAATGAAGCCTGTCTCAATATGCCCCACAGAACTAAGGAGCTGTGAGCAAGACACAAAGAGATCCCCTAAAATGTTGGTGTCCAGAAGGCCCTTGCATAAATTTTTCTAAATTTATTTCTTTATTTTTTCTTTATTTCTGAGAATTTCATATAGATATACTACTAAATATCACATAGGTCCCCAATTCTCCTCTCCAACTCCCCCCATATTTCCCCTAACATGTCTCCATCTCAACTTCGTGTCTTTTTTTTTTTTTAAATAACCTATTAAGTCCAGTTAGTGATGTTCATACATATGTGAGTATATGGCCATGCACCAGCGCAATTTTATTCAGACTCTAAATGTTCAAAACATTCCAATGAGCCCTAGATTGAATAATCAAAATAAAACCACATAAAATCAATCACTGGAGTCTTTAGGACGAGATACATACATGATGATGATGATGATGATGATGATGATGTGATGGTGATGGTGATGATAGCAAAGGCAAGATTCACCAAAATTCTGGAGAATGTTTATTTCTTGGAAGTGCAAGAAACTTTCAAATGTGTTAGCAAATTCTTTCAGTCACGTGACCCAAGGGTTCTGTATGTATTAAAGAATAGTCCCTCGGGTACTTCCTGATCATGCTCCACGTGTGTACCACTGGTGGAAACACAGTGCTTTACAGTGAGGACTACCCAGCCATCTGAACGGCTAACTTTGGGATTGGAAAAATAATATTCAGAATCTCTTTTTGCTTCAAAATGTTTTGATTGTAAAAATTCTTTACGTACTCAGACTTATCAGTCTAATAACAAAAGGATGTTTATTCAATGATGGAAATAAGTGTAGCTAGTGGTAATACTATTGAGGCCGATCCAAGGATTTCTCAGAGGCCCTGGTGAAAGGACAAAGGGGACCTAGTTATTTCTTGACCAGGGGCAGACTTGGCGGGGTCCAGTCTGGAGCTTCCGCCATTGCCTCCAAGGAGTGAAGGTTTCAGTTCCTGGAACTTGGCTTTTTCCGGGCTAGGAGACTTGGAGTTACACATCCCATGGCTGTTTTGTGCTCAGTCTCTGATACCCTTGAGAAATCCTGTGCGACATGGTTTGATTTACTTCCTACTGACTTCACCTCATTGTGTGCTTGCTTTCTGCCGACTCTGTCCCATTCCCCACCCCCAGACAGTACATAAGATGCTGCACTTCTTAACAAGCTTGCTTGACATAGACATAGCTTGTGTAAGACCTCCAACCCCAGATTTCTATCTCCTTTATCTTCTCCTCTCCTAGCCTCCCACTAGGGACACTGTCACTGAAGACTGATCTGGTCCAGATCAACTAACAATAAGTTAGTATGAATAATTGCTGTTTATATGATGCGCAATGTGAGAAAGGCATTGGTTCAAGTTCTTTTCTTACTTTGATTTGTTTGTTCTTTTTAGTGTGCGTGTGTGCGTGCGTGCGTGCGTGTCTGTGTGTGTGTGTGTGTGTGTGCGTGCGTGCGTGCGTGCGTGCGTGCGTGTGTGTGTGTGTGTGTGTGTGTGCAGCAAGCTCTTCTATAACTGAGCCTCCTCCCCAGTCCCTGCCTTGTTTGTTCCTCACTACTATCCCACAGAGGTAGGTAATCGTCTTGCTTCTTCACAGCTGAGAACAACTGACGTTAAGCAACTTGCCTATGTGTCCTTATGAAGCTAGTAAGTGATGGAGTTGGACTGCTACTTGTCAGTGTGGCTCCAGCACACACACTTAGGATCCCGTGCTGGTGGAAACAGGGGCGTGGTGGAAGGGCAGTGCTGTCCTTACGTGCACCTGTTACTTCTCAGTCTGCAATGATGTCTATCAGTCGTGTCTGCAGGGAGCTTTGGCGTATGGGGCATGAAAAGTCATGGACTCCAGAGTCATAGGCAGCATTTGAATTCAAGCAGGTCTGGGTCTTCATAGGGCAGTTCTTTAGAGCTGGGTGTTATCATGGACACCAGGAATCTTTTTAAAAAATATATTTCTTTATTATTAAGAAATTTTCTATTCATTTTACATACCAACCCAAGATCCCCTCCCCTCCCTCCTCCTACCCCCGCCCCAGACACCAGAAATCTTAGGCATCTGCCACTCCTCAGAATCAGAGACCACACTGGTGGAAGCGTCCTGTGGTCTCGAAACTACTGATTTCCTTGCTTGTTCCTCTCAGGATTAAAAACACGGCTACAAAGTAAATTCATTCAAGTGTGAGCATGTTGCAGTAAGAAAACCTCTCATAAGCCAGCGAGATGGGTATGGGTGCTTGCCACCAAGTCTGAGGACCCGAGTTCAATCCCCGGCACCCACATGATGGAAGGAGAGAACCACCTTCAGCCAGTTGTCCTCTGATCTCTATGGCACATATGTGCCAAACATATATACACTCAGGCACACTAAATAAATAAATGTAAAAACCAAATAATTCATGAGCTCAAACCAGTACATGTCCGTATTCCACTCAAACAGGGGAGACCAGAAAGAGCTGGGACACAGCAGTGGTGACCTCTTATTTTTCAGTCTGAATAAGGATGGGGAAAAGGGTTTCAGAAAACAGTCAATGAACTAATCATTTTGGAAAAAAAATAGCTTGTTTCTCGTTGCTTGAGGAGGCTCCAGGTGACAGAGAACAGGTGGAGAAACCAGGCCTGAGCCTTGACTGTGGTTCTCAGGGGCAGTTGAGGAGAGCAGGGCAGCCGCCGGCCCTGAGGTCTTCCAGAAAGTGAACAAGGATCAGTGTCAGTCAGCCTTTATTGCATCTGACTTACATACATTAGATCAGGAAGCACTCAATGGAGCTGTTCTCTTGATTTCAATGACTCCTTCATCCATTTCTTTCTCTGTATCTCTCCTCTCCTCCCCAATCTACTGAGGTCCTGGGACTGTTAACAGTGAGGCTGTTATGTTGGCAGGAGACCAGTCATTGGGAAGTGTTTATTTTCCTGTGATTTAAAAGGTTGAATGAATCCATGACGCCAAGGGATGAGGAGCAAAGATGTGTTTGCAAACATGTTGTGTTCATTTGTTGATGATGCTTTTGCAAAAGGGGGTTTCCAGGTGGTTCCTTTCTTATCTCTCAGCCATAGAGTGTTTAACCTTTGCACAGTTTCTGGTGTGTGGGGGATGGAGCTCTTCACCAGAGACTTTATGTCAAATGTGATTCTGAAGTGACCAGGAGTAGCAGCAGAGATAAAGAGATCTGCCACTTCTCCTTAGTGTGACTGATTGTGGGGAAATGCTTGTGATGGCTAATGTTATCTACTTGATGGCGTTTAGAATAAACCTCTGGGGATGTCTCTGAGGGAGTTTCTAGACCCAATCTAACTATGATCAACACCATACCACAGGTCAATATCCAGTATGGACCATGATGCAATGTGGCCTCAAGCTTCTGCCACTGTGCTTGTCCGCCATGATATACTGTACCCTGGGACTGTGAGCCAAGACAAATCTTTCTTAAGTTGCTTTTCTTGGGTATGGGTATTTTGTCACAGTGGTGAGTACAATGCTGAACTGAAAATATGGCTGATCTTGGTATGTTTTCTACAAGGAAGAAGAGGAGAAGGGATTGATTTTGGAGTCACATAGATGTGGGGTCAAAGCCTACGATGTTGGACAGATCCATTTCTCCTTCCTTCATGAACTTACAGTTAACAAGTACTCAGGAAGTTGGTCCCTTTAAGCATACATGAAATAAAGAATGCAGAGTCCTCCACAGCCTGGTCTTTCATTTTGATGATAGTAAAGTCATCGTCGCTCTGTTTGGGACTCATGTGTACCCTACCACCTCCTTCCCTTCAAGGAACCATAATTAACATTTCAGCATATGGGATAAACTTAGGGCTCCATAAATGCACACAGCTCACCAGAACAAAGGACTTTCAATGCAAGATAGGCCATAGTAGCCCACGGTGGGCTTCAATGTTGGAACAGCTGAATTATGTAAACTACAACTCACTGGGCTGGGCAAGTGACTCAGTGGGTTAAAGTGATTTTTTTCGAAGCCTGACAACCTGAGGTTGATCCCTGGGACCTACATAGTAGAAGAAGTCAAGCCAATACTGAAGGATGTCCTCTGACCTAAACACACATACTGTGGCACTTGTACAGCCACCCCCACCCCCCACACAGACAGACACAGACAGACAGACAGACAGACAGACAGACACACACACACACACACACACACACACAGAGATAAATAGCGTGATTTAAAAAAGAAAAAGACTTTTTAAAAAACAGGAAGGGCAGAGAGTTCAACCCAAGTAAAAACTTTAATTCCATTGTTGTTGAAGAGAAACAGATATGTAAATGCTGTGTGAATATACTTGCTGCATTTTCTAGAAAAACGATTTGAGTCACATTTGTTATTAGAGTGAAAGGTGTAACAGTGACATTCGGTTGAAGCAGATACACGTGTCCTCAGTACACCAGCAAATCTCCAAGAATTAGACAGACACCAAAGTGAAAGCCCCTTAAACTCTGTTGACTGAGACCCCCTAACAAAGAGCAAATCTGCTGTCCTGGTAGTCCCTCTTTTTCTCCTTGTCTACAGCTGTGAATGGGTGTCCCTCTCCCTGATAGAGAACAAAGTCTTGATATTGACATTCTATCTATCTATCTATCTATCTATCTATCTATCTATCTATCTATCTATCTATCTATCTATCACCTATCTATATATCATCTACCTATCTATCTATCCATCTATCTATGGTCATGGTAGAGATGGCTCACATGGCTAGATACTCCTAGGATTTTCTTCCCGAAAAATCACCTGAATCAAAGTCCCTAGAGATGTCACCCAAGAGCCTAAGTTTTGACAACTTCCAAAAGATCCTAATGTTTAAAAACCAACAACTTAGTGTTTGAAATGGTTTCTGAAGGCCATTGCCCACAGAGAGGAGCCTCATATCCTGGAAGGCTTATGAATCAGGGGTGGGTTTGTAGAACTTCTGGGAACCCAAGTAGGTGCCCAATTCCCTCAGTTTTCTACTCAATTTCCCAATAAGCCTCACAAACAAGAACATTTGCAGAGGAATCTCCTGTTTTTCTCTTTCTATCTTTCTTGTACTTTCTGTAGGTTAACATTAAAACCTCACAGGCTGAGATCTTTCCTCTAACTAATGGTAACTCTTGACTCTCTCTGTCCTTCCATGTGTTTAGCTATCAGAGGGCAGAGTGTGTCTACTTCACTGGGCTCTCACAGACCCTTGGAGGAGATAAGCTTGGTCAGAGTCTCCTGATCCACGCCTTATGGGTCTGCCGCCAAAGGGGAGGGGTCCTAGGTCTCGAGCTGAAAGTTAGATGTCCTTTTACCTAACTTCCTTGGTTAAAGGCTTCATATCTTTAGGGGGAGCTGCTTGGGCTGTCAATCACCTGTAAGCTCCCAGCATCCTCCAGGAGGGCTAGCCCTACCTAGGCTATCTCCTTAGGAGGCAGTGTCCATGCTGTTTAACTGCCCGGTGGACATATGCTCGTGGATTGTTAGCGGGTATTTCTAACTTAACAGGTCTCAGCAGTACTTCTTGCCTTCTCTCATCTATTCCAGAGCAGTCCAAAACTTTGGGGTGCCCCTTAATGCCATCCTCTCAAACACTCCATATCTAATCCACGAGTTCTCACGGCCTATCTTTGAGGCCTATCTTGAGGCTGACCACATTGCTGCATCTGTGTGAATGGTTCCCTATCCTGGCCTCCATTTCCTCTCTCCTGCCCCTCTGTAATGGCCTTATAAGTGGTCTCTTTCATCCTACTCTTCCCTCCTCTCTAGTCTGTCCCTAGTAAGGCAGACAAGGTAATTTTCTGAGAATCTGTTAGATTATGTGGTGGCTTAAAGAACAGTAACTTCATCTCCCTCTCATTTTCCAGAATAAACTTATAACCCCGGGCCCTTTTGTGTGCTCTCTTCCATCTGCCCCAAAACACTGGTGTCTGTGTTGTTCATTCATAAAGCCAGGGACCTGTCCCAGGATGCAGCTGTGCTCAGGCTGGCACACATCTTTCCTTCAGTGGTTCTACGGGAAACTCCATTCCTTTACTTCTTCATTCATCATTTCCATCAAATTTCATCCTTCAATATTTAATTCAAACTCTACCATCACACTGGTGGGGTTTTTTTGTTTTGTTTTGGGTTTTGGGTTTTGGGTTTTTTTTTTGTTTGTTTGTTTGTTTTGTTTTGTTTTGTTTTTCGAGACAGGGCTTTTCTGTGTAGTTTTGGTGCCTGTCCTGGATCTTGCTCTGTAGACCAGGCTGGCCTTGAACTCACAGACATCCACCTGGCTCTGCCTCCCGAATGCTGGGATTAAAGGCGTGCGCCGCCGCTGCCGGTGTTTGTAATCTTCTTGCCAGCTCCAGTTTTCCACATTTTACTGTTGAATACCACTTACTGTTTGTTGTTTTTTTGTTTGTTTGTTTTGTTTTGTTTTGTTTTTCTGCTGCTAGGCAGAATCAAATTGTCCGTTTTGGTCATTGACATTTCCCTAGTGCCCTTCCAGCTTGTGACCCACGGGCTGCATGCATCCCCAGGATAGCTATGAATGTGTCCCAACACATTTGTATATAACAATGTCACATCACCATGTCAAAAGTCGGGACACCTGTGATTCAAATAACTATTGGAGAGAAGGGGAGGGAAAGAAGGGGGGAGGGGAGTGAGGCAGAGAGGAGAGGGAGGGGTGGTCAGAGTCTTAACTATTCAAATCAATGATGTTGGAGCTGGAGAGATGGCTCAGCAGTTAACAGCACAGAGTTCAGTTCCCACCGCCACACGAAGGCTCACAATTGTCTATAATTCCAGTCCTAGGGATGCTGACACCATCTTCTAGCCTCCTCCGGCACCAGGCATGCTTGTGGTACACAGACATACATTCAGGCCAAACATCCATGCATAAAAATAAATACAAAAAAAAAAACATGAAAAGTAGAAGTTGCTAGACTTAAATCAACACAAAGCCACAGCGAGAAGAGGGAAGAAGAGCAAACGTTTGAAAATCAATACGAGAAGCATCTCAGTACACTGCGGGCTGTCGAGTGAGCTCATGAGTGGTCTGCAGAGCCTGCTTACTTTGATTGATGGTACCCTGCCTAACCGATCCTCCATCAGTTCCTCTCTGTGTTCTCACCTGTAGGCCATATTGAATGGCGAATAGCTTCTTTCTTCTGTCAGGCTCTCAAAGTTAGGGGGCTTTAGCCACAGAATTCTGGACAGAGCAGAAGGAGACAGTCACCCAAATTTAGGTCAAGACAGCACCTAGAAGATGCTGGACCCTGCAAGTCAAGTGTTCCCAGTGAAGGAGTACCCTGGAAACCAAGGCCTTATCATGAGTACTGGGGTTGATCTGAGCCTCATGTGGAGGCTTATATTTGTTCATTCCTGACCTAGGAGCAGCTACTGTCTCTGGTATGGAGTTAGGTACAAGAAAAATATTGGTAAGAGCTACCAGTGTAGCCTAGTGGTAGAGCATGAGCTTAGCATGCAGAAAGCCCTGAGTTCAATCTCCATTACTTTAAAACCTAAAGGGAAAAAAAAAAAGATGCAGATTAGTTAAAGTCAATTTCTGCTTATTTTCAACAGTCCTGCATGAGCATCCCACAGTGGTCTGGGTGTTACTGGGAATGAGACTGACTGTACTCAGTCCTCCTTTCAGGTGGATGAGAGGTGGGTTTGTTTTGTTGATATCTTCCAGCCTCCCAGACAGACCCATGTCGTACTGTTTGGTACTCTCATTATCTTGGGCTGAGTTTTGGAAAGGTCTCTGTTTGGTTTCAAGAGCCCAGGGTTACAGATGAGCATGACCCTTGGGTGACTTCAGTAACAGCGTTAACATGCAGTCAAAAGTCTTTTGACACATACCTACCTCATCAGAAGATAACCTTTATGGCCTTCCTTGAATCTGAGTGTGATTTGGGATTAATGTAGTGATACTGTGTGAAACTTCAAAGGGCAGAACATTAAATGCCATGCACCTCCCACTTCTTTTGTGTGAAAACTCACTCTTGGACCCCTGAGTCATGAACATTCTGTCTGAGACAGACCTAGTAGAACGAATTCATTCTTAAGTCTTCCCAACTGAGCACCAGACTGAGAGCAGAAGCCCCTTTGGAAGCGTCTCTTCCAGGCTTAGCTGTCATGACTCCACCCCTGCCCAAGCGCTCTTACCCACCTTTGAGTCACCCCTGCAGAGACCCCAGATATCATGAATAAAGGAAGACCTCTACTCTGGTCTTTGCAAATTCCTTACCTGAAAACCTGTGGATGTAAATCGTTGTTTTATGTTGCCAAGTTTCTTGTCAATAGTTTTAGAACATTGCAAGGTGACAAAGTGAGAGAGATCCAGTTTTCTTAAAAAATAAAAGCACAAGGTTTTACAAAATGGTGTGGCCTTGGGGCCTTTCTATTATACTATGCCATTTGGGGCACGCCCCCTCAAGTTCCCAGGTTTGGAAGCACATTGCTGGTAGCTCTTGGGGTTCAAGGCCTGTGTTTCCTAGCTCAGGTGTCCTTATGAGTAAAGAGAAAGCAGTAACATTCTTGGTGTCCTGTACTGAGCCACAGAAGTGACTCTGTGTGTACCACAGGCATCTCCGTTTGTCACATGTGAGACACTTATAAATTTGCCTAGAAACCCACTAAGAAAAAAAAATACATTCCCTTTTGTAAAGCCTTAGACAGATTTGGCAACTAGCATTCTGTCATGCTCATGCAAAAATAAC